AATAATGGCGAAAGAACTAATTTTTCGAAGAAAATGAACATAACCTTTTTTAAAGTGCTTGGAAAAATCTTTAAAATACTTTTTGAAAAAATTTCGTGGCTCAAAAACTCGCGTAGTTATACAATAAAATCTATGGCTGAACCATAAAAAAAAGAAACTAAGCGTAATCCATGTACTGTTGACTTTATTTAGGTACTAATAATAGGCTCTGCAAGTTTAATCGGTTTAGAATGCCTAAATTTAAAAAAAAGTTTGAAATAATGAAAACAAAATTTTTATAATTTTTTAAAAAATTTCCTTTTTTCGAAATAACTCAAAAACTAAACAAGATACGTGAAAAATGCAAGAGTTCAAAATTAAAGTTCTTTTTTTATAATATTATTGATTTCGTTCAATTTTTCTGTAGAACAAAAATTAACTGATATATTACGTTTTTTAGTTTGCATTTGCTTGTAAGGACCACCTTCTTTGAGCTCTTAATATCTAAAAAATCTCGAAAACGAAGAGTTCAAGACCCTTCAACTATAAAGGTTGTTTTGTAGTTCTTGCAATTCCCTGCAAATTACTTTTGGAGCGATGAAAAATATTAAAAATTAAAAAAGTTATCGTGAAAAACGAATTGTATTATGCAGTGAAATTTGTCGGATCGCGTAAATGGCTTACCTAATAGTTTAATAGAGTTTTAAGTAATCTCGTTGAATTTAGTAATGTATCGTTGAGTGTTTTGATGCAGGTAAACATTTTACAATTCCTCATTAAGGGTTGTTTTTAAGGATTGAAACGTTGCAATGAATCATCAGTAATATTATAAACAGTGATGAGTCTTTCATTCATTATAAATGCTATGAAGATGTGAACTTTTTTTTTTGTTTTATTTTCTGCAATAAGGATGGTTTTTAAGGGTTGAAACGTTGCAATAAATCATATATTATTTCATTATTGCTCCGTCAAAACATTTCAGAGCCGCGAAAACTAATTTTGTTTTTTTCCTCATGAAGGGTGGATTCTAAGGGTTGAAATGTTGCTACAAATCAAAAATTATTATTCAAAACATAAAAGAATGCTTATTCTATTGACATAACACTTAAATCTATGATTTTTACGTTTTTTTCAAGAAGGAGTAGTTACCAATATGCACACATTATGGATATGTAACTTTTATAAAGGAGGGTGAAATGAGCTTACTCACCAATTTTCATCAAGAATTCGGAGGTAATATCCTATTTCTACCGTTGTATATTGGACTAAACATACTAGTCAAATCAAACGGTTCTGTACAAGAAAATATACATGCATATTTTCTCTGTGAAAAAGTTTCACAGAGACAAAATTTCCTTAAAAGAATTAGAATTTTAATAGACGCTACCATTTGGAAGATACTGTCTTCCATGTTTTACCACATGGTCCGTGAATGAAATGAAACCTCCTCCAGGAAGACCCGTTATATGTTGCTATGTCCGTAAATTTTCCAATAGAGTAGTGATTACTCACACCATCACAGGGTTTTGTTCATAAGCAACAAATTCAATACATTTCAGATACCTATTTTTTGTTTTATGGTGAACTTATTAATATTTCTTGGAATGGACAACCGTTTTATTTTCGTGACGTTCTCATAAATCATCTAAATATTTGGACAGCACGTTCTCTCTCGAGTGCAAAGAAAATTTGCATTCATCAACTATTTTCTTNATTCCTCATTAAGGGTTGTTTTTAAGGATTGAAACGTTGCAATGAATCATCAGTAATATTATAAACAGTGATGAGTCTTTCATTCATTATAAATGTTATGAAGATGTGAAATTTTTTTTTGTTTTATTTTCTGCAATAAGGATGGTTTTTAAGGGTTGAAACGTTGCAATAAATCAAAAATTATTATTCAAAACATAAAAGAATGTTTATTCTATTGACATAACACTTAAATCTATGATTTTTACGTTTTATTCAAGAAGGAGTAGTTACCAATAAGCACACAATATGGATATGTAACTTTTATAAGGGAGGGTGAAATGAGCTTACTCACCAATTTTCATGATTGGTGCATGTGTCAAGAATTCGGAGGTAATATCCTATTTTTACCGTTGTATACTGGACTAAATATACTAGTCCAATCAAACGGTTCTGTACAAGAAAATATATATGCATATTTTCTCTGTGAAAAAGTTATACAAAATTTCCTTAAAAGAATTAGAATTTGAATACCATTTGGAAGATATTGTCTTCCATGTTTAACCGCATGGTCTGTAGTTTGTGTTGGAATAAACATAAAACTTAAAAATAAAAATTACTTGCTTTCTTATACATTTAAAATGAAACCTCCCCAAGGAAGACCCGTTATATGTTGCTATGTCCGTAAATTTTCCAATAGAGTAGATTATAGACGAACGGTCCACCCCTAAAAAGATGCTTAGAAAATCAAGGTCACCGACCACGAGGAAAGACCAAGATGAAACCTTTTGTAATCGATGCATTGAGTTATTGCAAACAAAAAACCTAAGTAACATCTGTGTGTCCGAGTGGCAGGTAATTTGTTATTAACAAAAGAGTTGCAAAATAAAAATATTGCAAAAAAACGCTCTGCAAACAATTTTCGAAGATAAATTGAGCAGAAATAAACACTTTTTGTGTCTTGAAATTTTTTCGTAGAACGCTTCCTTTTCGAGCTAGGGGCGATTTAAGGTCGAAAAATGGCTAAAAGTTGCCAACTTTAAAAATTCATATCTCAGCTCCTACCAAAGCTTTCGGAACGTTCAAAAGCGCAAAATGATCCTCGAGACTTATACTTTAATGTAGTATTTTTTTTAAACC